CAGCACCACATAAGCAAAAAGAAAAAAGCCAGAAGGGGCGCTGTGGCTCAAGTGGTAGAGCGCTAGCCTTAAGCTGAAGAGCTGAGGGATAGTGCCCAGGCCCAGAGTTCAGGCCCCACAACCGGACCCAAAAAAAAAAGAAAAATGCCCCCCCAATTAAAGGGTGAACCCCACAACCAGAATAGTAAATAGGAGCCAGGAAGTATAACAACACTAAGAGTGATTGAAAGATAAACATCTATCTTTGTATAACTCTAAGTCAGAACCCCTACCTTTATCATATAAATACCAGTGATGGGGAAGAGCTGTGTCTCTCTCCCTTTGAGAGTACCCACACTTCTAGGACCCTCAGTGAAGAGTCCTTACTTTTGGAGGAAAACTTCACAAACCCTCATCCAGTGACAGTCCAGGTGATAAGCACTTGCTTATTAGCAATCACAAGGACCTGAGTTTAATTCCCAAGATCACCAAAAAAAAAAAAAAGAAATGGAAAATAGGAAAGAATACATTAGGTTCATGTTAGCATTTTAGAAACCAAGAACTCCAAATGCCAGTGCTGATATTACCATGAATGCAATGAACATAAATTTCTTATCCATAAGTCATATACCATCATGATCACTGTAAGCATTTGGTAATTCTAAAAATTAAAATTATTATTTTGATGTCTATTAAATAAAAAATATATACAGAATCGAGCTGGGAAGGTGGCTCAGTGTGCTTGCCTTGCAAGCATGAGGCCTGGGTTCAATTCCTCAGCAACACATAAGCAGAAAAAGCAGGAAGTGGTACTGTTGCTCAAGTACAGCACTAGCCTTGAGCTGAAGAGATGAGAGGGACAGCACCCAGGCCCAAAGTTCTGGCCCCATGACCAGCAAAAAAAAAAGTCTCATGGACTTTCCTGTCCATGCTGGCTTCGAACTGTGGTCAGATCTCAGTCTCCTGAGTAGCTAGGATTACAGGCATGAGCCACCAGTACCCGGCTTGATTCCAGAATTCGACTGTTTTAATAAAGTTTCTATTAACTTTTTTTTTATCAGTCCCGGGGCTTGCACTGAGTTGACTGGGCACTGTTCCTGAGCTTCTTCTGCTCCGAGCTAGCACTCTGCTAGCTGTGGTACTGTTTATGACATACTGTTTATGAGGAATCAATACATACTAGGCAAGCACTCTACCACTAGGTCACATTCCCAGCCTTCTATTAACTCTTAATTGGTGGAAACAGTATATCCTTAATGTTGTAAGCTGAATTATTATTGGTGGTGTGGTAAGATATTTTAAAATACATCTTTTTTTTATTTGGTTAATCATGGGGCTTGAACTCTGGGCCTAGGCACTGTCCCTCAACTCTTCAGCTCAACACTAGCACTCTACCACTTTAGCCACAGTTTTTTGGCAGTTTATTAGAGATAAAAGTTTCACAGACTTTTCTGCCCCAGCTGACTTTTAACTGCAATCCTCAGATCTCAGTCTCCTGAGAAGGCAGGATTACAGGCGTGAGCCACCATCGGCCAGCTAAAATACATCTTTATTTCCTCTTTGGCCAGGCAAATTAAACACCCCTATTTTTCTCTCAGCCTCTTTACCCAACCAAAAAGAAATATGTTTTGATCACATAAAGTACTTGGCATATTAAAATATGCTAAATTGACATAATCCTACTCACTAGGAGTATGAAAAATATCTTAGAAAAATAAATCAACTCATTCTCATGATTGTCCAGTTTTCCTTTTCATTTTATACACCTCAAGATCTATTATTTTCCAAGCAAACTTTAAAAAGCAACATTAACTCATTAACCATGCTTCTTTTCTTTTTCTTCTTTTTTTGAGAGTGTCTCACTTAGTAAATCATGCTAGACTCAAACTTTTGATCTTTTTGCCTCAGTCTCTGAAGTTCTGGGATTACTGGTATGTACTTCTCTAATTTCTTTCATTTTTTTTTTGGGGGGGGGTGGGGGAGAAGGTCCGGTCGTGGGGCCTGAACTCTGGGCCTGGGCACTGTCCCTCAGCTCTTCAGCTCAAGGCTAGCGCTCTACCACTTGAGCCACAGCGCCACTTCCGGCTTTTTTCTTTTTTTTTTTTGCTTATGTGGTGCTGAGGAATCGAACCCAGGGTCTCAGGCATGCAAGGCAAGCACTCTACCACTGAGCCCCTACTTGTCTAATTTCTAACAAACACAATTTTGCTAAGTCAAATGTGGATACCTAAATCTTATCAAGATTATATTAATTTATCGATTTTTAGTTAGAAAAACTGATTCGATTTTTATATGAACCAGAAGTTACTATGTTATTTTTTTAATCAGGCTTTATTTTTCCTAAAGTTAAAAAAAAATGGGACGCTTTAATCAGATTTTGTGATGTATGCTTTTAGTTTATTTAAATTTCTCATTTTATATTATTTTTACCAGTAACAGTCACGATACGATGAATAATACCTTTCTATAGTTTTTAATTTGTTCTTTTTTCTTTGTAATAGGTTAAGAGGGAAACACAAGGGCTGGGAAGGTGGCTCAGTGGTAGAGCGCTTGCCTTGCATGCATGAGGCCCTGAGTTCGATTCCTCAGCACCACATAAACAAAAAGAAAAAAGCCAGAAGTGGTGCCGTGGCTCAAGTGGTAGAGCGCTAGCCTTGAGCTGAAGAAGTGAGGGACAGCGCCCAGGCCCAGAGTTCAGGCCCCACGACCCGGACCCAAAAAAAAAAGAGGGAAACACAAAATTCCCCTTTAAATAGTTCAAGACTGCTCTAAAGTGTGGTAAAAAGAATGTCTTATCAAAGTAGCTGGAGAAAATATCCTAGACCAAATACTCTATTGTACTTGATCTAAGTCTCCACAGTTGAAGGCATAGTTCAAACTATGGAGAGAAAAGACTGCCTCTCTTGTAATCTTGAGTATGCCACTCACTGAAGGGATGAACAAAGTAATGCTTTTGTGCCATTTTATGAATCTATAAAATGAAAATAATATTAATACCTACACATAGACTTGAGAATATTGTATTAGTATACTCATCAAAATACTAAATGTAGGCATAGTGGTAGAGTGCTTGACTAGCATGCATGAAGCCTTGGGTTCAATTCCTTGGTACCACATAAACAGAAAAAGCCAGAAGCGGTGCTGTGGCTCAAGTGGTAGCCTTGAGCAGAAGCAGCTCAGGGACATTGCCTAGGCCCTGAATTCAAGCCCCAAGACTGGCAAAAAAAAAAAAATAGTAAGTGTTCCCTAAATGTTTACTATCATTACCACCATTATTATTATCTTTTGTCCCTTTTTCACTTAGCTTCCTTGTAAACCTTATGTAGCAATAGGATCAAGAAAGGAAAAGAGCCGGGCTCCGGTGGCTTACGCCTGTAATCCTAGCTACTCAGGAGGCTGAGATCTGAGGATCGCGGTTCAAAGCCAGCCT